TTCTCCAGGCTGGAAACTGGCGCTGATTTGAATGTCTGGACATGAAGCTGGCGCTGTCGAAAAAGATGCTGCGACTGTTTGTTGTTGTTGTTGTTGCTGCTGCATGCAGCTTGTGGCCGGTTGTGTGCCCCACGCTCACGCATATTCCGCATATGCAGACAACGCGCGACGGGATGCAGGCGCCACTTGGCCAGGCGGCAGACAGGTAAATGTTAATGCCAATGCCCTCTGCCGCTGCCTCAGTCGCTGTCTCTGTCGCCGTCGCTGGCAGTGAGTGCTTGCAACCGGCTGACCTTTGCACATGCCACAAGCAACGGCTCGGACAAGCAGGAGGTCAGATGTCGCCAGTTGGCCAGTTGGCCCAAAAGCGCCATGCCCCGTATCGCTGCCCCTGCCTCTGCCTCTGCCCCTGGCCCTGCTCTCGCTGCAATCGTTGTCTTCATCTTTGGGCTGCTGTCAGCGTTGCCATCATATCAAATGACAAACTCGACTGCACAATGAAACGCAATGCGTGCTGGCAGCTCTGCAGATTATCAGAGCTCGGCCAGCTCAATTGGAAAATGATCGATGATCGGTACGAGTGTGTGCCTGTGTGTGTGTGGGTTTGTGTGTGCTGCATGTTGTGCCCGGCTTTGAAATGGGTTCGCTTCCAACTGACATTGCAACAACTGGAACAACTCGCCGCTCCCCGCTCGCCTTCTCATCTCCTCCTCATCTGGCATCTTGCAATATTGTCAATAAGTCGGGTTTTAGGTGGCATTTCGGGCACTGCCCTAATTAAGGTTCGCTTCTGTTTTGGGTATTTATTTATTTATTTTTCGTATTTCTCTCAGTCTCAGCATCTGATTCCAGAGAACTCTTGAGTCCCCCAACAGAAGATTAGAATATGGCATTACAAGTGTCACAAGTAGCTGTTGGGCCTGTTCTAGTCGGGCGCGCCGGACTAGACGCTACACTGTATATACCTGCCGATTCCCTCATACTTTTTCCTTCTTCCCATACTACCGAATGTTCTTGAATACCTTCGCACTCTATAGTGGGATCCTTATGAAATTTTTAGGGCCTAAAGATGACAATGAAATATGTGCACATATCAAAGCGCAAGACTCTAACTTTAGGTGCGAAAGTGGAAATGTATCGAAGAATAGAAATATTTGCCATATGTCTACACTACAACTCTATAACAAGTTTGGTGTAAATAAATTCTCAAGTTATGCTCAAAAGACAAATTTGAAAATCGATATTTATCGATATTGTGTAAGTTATCGAACAACCAAATAGTAGATTCGTCCCAGCTCTTCTCCATAATCCTCATCAGGGATGATTTCTGGGTTCGCAGTAGTTTCCTTCATATACATATGCTTAATACTCTTTCTACACATCATCCATGAGTTTAGATATGAAAATTGATCTTGATCTCGCTCTTCGACTTTTCATAGGATATGTGTCGCGATGATGAAATCTTCGATAACACGTAAAGTATATATTCTTGTATCTTCCCTTATCATAATTAATAAGACAAAACAAAAATATATTAAACGCTTTTGTTTTTTCCAGGAAGTTGCAAGAAGTTGCATTGCGGCAAAAACTGGGAATAGCTGCGACTTAGAAGCTCTTGTATTCGAGTGGCACATGTTGCAGCCACATACAGCTCTACAGCTGGCGGCTCTGCGCCGACGCGAAGAACACAAATGAACATGTCGACGTCCAAGTGTCACCACAAAGATGTAGCCAAGCAGTTGTTGGGACACACAAAAACGGCCGAGAGGCACAAAGGTAAACGCTGGAAAAGGTTGGAACGGTAGGACGCGGTGGCGACGTGTTGTATCCATGTAGCAGCTGCAGCTGCCGGTGTCCAGCAATGAGGAGGGCATCGTCATCGGCATCGGCATCGCCGGAGCAGGAGCAGGAGCAGGAGAAGGAGCAGGGGCAGGGTATGTTGTGAGCTGGCAGCGATTGCAATCTCTCGCTCGCTGCAGTTGTCGCAGCGAACTTAATTTTCCGCCATTTGCTCATTTGGCCTGGCCAAGAACCATAAAGCGTATGTGGCAATGCCATAGGCGGGAGCCAGGAGCCAGGAGCTCATCATGGCAGATCTCGTGCCGCTGATAAGGGCGAGCCGCCGCGAATGAAGTCGTCGCGTCAACGGGCCAGAATAACACACACAAACATACACAATTTAATTAAACGAGACGACTACCGTGCAGCCTCCACTTAACGGATCGCCACATCCCGTGCTCCTCGGATCTCCTCCAATGATCCCGAGCAGGTCGATCGGTTCTGCGTGACTCGCATAAATCGCTGGCCATCGATTTGGTTTATCTTATCGATAAAAAAAAAGAGTATAAACTAAGCCAGAAGCGAGCCGACCTTGAGACCGACGGCTAATGAAGATCTTGGCGTCTTATTGGAATAGTTTGGCCCGTTTGCATAATTCATTTTCAATTTATATGCCCATTAAAGCCGATAATGGACGCAATTAAGTTCGTGTCCCTTTGATAATTTTCCACATTTACGCGGCCATTAAAGTGATTCCCAGCGCATTTTTCTCGCACATTATCAGCTCCTCATTTCCATAGTCGATGACATGCAACGACAACGACCAGAGATCCCCAGGTTCCATTTACCCATTTACTCTGCCTCTATCTCTCTCCCTCTCACCCTCTCCCCCTATCCCTCTCTCTCTCTCTCTGCAACTAGTTTCTACGCTTAAGTCCAGAGCTCTCCATTCCGCATTCGCTTATCGCCTATGTAGTCAGACGAAGAAAAATGATAGACGCATGTGGTAAGAAAAAAAATAAAACAACATCTCAGTCTAGTCTTGAACTTATGGGCGGTGGCTATTAGGGTGCCGCACGGCATCGGGTCCGTGCCCCGAGGGCTGAGGTGTTAATTAGCTTTATCTTAATGCAGGTTCCGGCACACAGTTCAAACTGAATTATACATAATAATTTGTTTGCCACTCTCTAAAGTGGAACTTAATGTTGCCCGACTATGCATAAAAAGCCAGATATGACAGCCATCTCTACCTCTCTTTCGCTCCCCCTCTTTCACGTCGTGTGCTGCCCTCTGAACCCAAGACGCCACCCACTGGCCAGGTCCATGCCAGAGCCACGTTGGCAGCTCGTGTTAAGCGACCATTAATCACATTAGCTATGCATTAATACGGTACTGCTAAAGGAATATTACTCATATATATATAGGACTTATTGAGGAGGATGTTGCTTTTCCTAATGGCTGACATTAGCAGAAACATGGAATGGCACGTCGACCCTCAAGATGTGCAATAGTTGAAATACCCCAATTTTAAAATGAAGACTTTTCTATGCTTTTTCACACTCAGCACTTTTTTTAATTTATATTTAAGGCTTGCTTTGAGATTATGTTTTATTATTAACATATGTATGTAAAGACTCTGTAAAGTTTGTCATAATGAAAAAGCTTTGGATGAACTTAGATACTGTCATATCTAGTTTTTAAGTTTTAATAAAATGTGTATTTGATTTGGCATATCTCTGATTTATAAGTAATATTGTATACTGTATTAACAGTTCAGCTTTATTTTTATAAATGTTTAACATATATACGAATGATGATAAATGTTTAGATAATATATAGATATATTTGATCGAGCAATTATATAATTTATAATTCAGGGTTGCTTATAGAATTTTTAGAATATTCACATTTTTGAGAGCCCTTAATTATGAATGTGCATATAGTGTACATAGTACATACACAGTGGTCGCTCGATAATAAGAGCCAATTGCTAAAATATTATATTTACCAAAAGGGCTCAGCCTTAATACAATAAGTGAAAAGTTAACGATTGTTAATTCTATATTTTAAGCTGAATGAGAATTCGAAAAGGTTAAAAGTGTACTCTTGATTCTTGAAGTCAATGAAATGTATAACATATACACATACTTAATAATAATTTAAGAATTGAAAAATTTTTGATCAATTCTAATTTCAAGTTGTTTTTCCCTTTCAGCCTTTACTAAGTTTTGTAAGAAAACAGCATTAAAGTTCTTATATTATGTCTATATAACACTTATTGCGTGTGTTTACGCTCTAAGCAATGCCTGCAGACATATTAACATAAATCACACATGTTAATGGCCACTGTAAGGCCTCTGTTGCTGCTACATATTTGTTTAACTGCGAATGCCAGTCAACAACAGCAGCAACAACAAGAACAACAGCCCATGCTCAGCCACCACCCACAAGGCAACTCCAAGTAGCCACACAAATAAAACACTGCTGAGCGCAAATCCTTTGCCTGTGTATTGGTGCTTATCTGTGTGAGCGCCGAATGCCGGCTGCAACGGTGTGCGTGTGTATGGTTGAGCGCATGAGGGGCGGAGCCAAGCGGCAACGGCAACAGAAGCAAATGAAAACTTGCAGCGTCAGCACTAGGCTAATACGATGGACTAGACGGGGTTGCATTTAAGGGGTGGATGGGTGTGTGTGTGGTTTCAATGAGTGAAAGTAAAATTGCAATAACAATAGACTAGTGCTCTCTCGGCAGACTCTCACTCGTCTCTCGCTCTCACGCAGTGTGGTCGCCATTATAGCGCTTTATTAAACAAACAAACAAACAATCAAAAGAGCATAAACAAACAGAAGAAACCAACACAAAAGCGAACGCACACATGCACACGCACACGCATATACACGTAAGAGTTGCTGAGCACGCTCAGCCATTATGCACGCTCTCACCACCACTGCCGGTTCAGCAGAGAGAGCGAGAGAGAGAGAGAGAGCAAGAGACGGAGAGCTCACTAACTGGGCAGCACACAATTGAATGCCATGGATAGTGCTGCCTCGCTCACACTCGCTGCTGCTGCCGACGACTCATTGGGGAGTTGCGAGATGGAGACTGGGCAGCGCTGCGACTGCGGCTGCGACTGTGGCTGCGGCTGTGGCTGGCAAAGATACTTTTCTTGCGGCGTGCACGCCATACGAAATCAGTCAATGTCTTGGAGTTGATGGCGCGAGTACACGCGACACGAGTTGACTGCGACTGTGACTGTGACTGCGACTGCGACGCGTGCGAACTCAACGCAAAGCTGTGACTTCACGTGAAACCGTAACAGTAACAGTAACAGTAACCGAAAGCCGCCGCCGTCGTTCGCAACGTGAAAAAAAAATAAAATTGTATTTAAGTCCATATTAAGAAACAAATATCGAAACAATTGCATTTTGTTATAATTTTTTTATGGTGTGCCTGAGAAAACAAAACATAAGATAAGCAACAAGAAGAAGCAGAAAAGTGTATCTAAAATATGCAAAAACTGTTCCGTGCCACATAAAGCAAAGATATATTTAAGTAACAGTTCCCAACAAAAAGTAATCGATAAAAAAAAGAAGAGAAGAGAAGAAGAGGGAAAAGAAAACGTCACGACGTCGTCGCCCGGGTCAATAATGCTGGTGCCGTCGGACATGATCGCGGCACAGTCCAAGATGGTCTATCAAATGAACAAATATTGTGCGGATCGTGTGCAGGTGCGCAAGGCGCAGATCCACAAACAGATCCAGGAGGTCTGTCGCATCGTTCAGGATGTGCTCAAAGAGGTGGAGGTGCAGGAGCCCCGCTTCATATCCTCCCTGAACGACTACAACGGCCGCTTCGAGGGCCTGGAAGTGATCTCACCCACAGAGTTCGAAATCATCATCTACCTCAACCAGATGGGCGTCCTCAACTTTGTGGACGACGGCACCCTGCCCGGCTGTGCCGTGCTCAAGCTGAGCGACGGACGCAAGCGTTCCATGTCCCTCTGGGTGGAGTTCATCACCGCCTCGGGCTATCTGTCCGCGCGCAAGATTCGCTCCAGATTCCAGACGTTGGTGGCCCAGGCGTGCGACAAGTGCGCCTACCGCGACATCGTCAAGATGATCGCCGACACCACCGAGGTGAAGCTGCGGATCAGGGAGCGCATCATTGTGCAAATCACGCCCGCCTTCAAGTGCGCCGGCCTCTGGCCACGCTCGGCCTCGCACTGGCCGCTGCCCGGCATACCCTGGCCGCATCCCAATATTGTTGCAGAGGTTAAGACTGAGGGCTTCGATATGCTTTCCAAGGAGTGCATTGCGCTCCAGGGCAAGAACTCCGCCATGGAGGGCGATGCCTGGGTGCTCAGCTTTACAGACGCCGAGAATCGTCTCTTGCAAGGTGAGTTCTTCCGACATTTACCCAATTCTCAGTTAACTCAAGTTGCCGTCGGCAAAAAAGAAGCCCAACTAATACTCCCGATTATCGGACGAGTTCTTCTTCTTAAGATATATTTCAAGAGCTCCAAAGTTCTTTCAACTAATTAAATTACTTCTATGTAGATTCTGTATTTTTATAAATTCCATTAGTAAAAATATTATCATATCTATGTATAGCATAAATAGAGAGACTAGAAATATCATTGATCATAATAATATTCCTTGGGCAATGTTTTGTTTAAAAAACAGACAAAATTGGGAATCCTATTTGGAAAGATTTCATTTGCTTTTGATTTTCGATTCGCAAAAATACTTTCAATTATTCTGGTTTAAGACTATTTCCAATAATTAGTAATCCTAACTGGGAATACTTCTTCGATTCTTAAATGCTTTTTTTAACTCCATTTCAATCTAAACTTCTCTATTTTTTTGAAATCTCAAAGTATCTCTTGTTTCTTCGCTTATAATTCTCGCAATACTTCAAGAATAGAGTTCATACTGTTTATAAAATGTACCTTTACCTATTTCTACCCAATGCTAAAGTACACACCAATTTGTGCGTATCTCTTGTAGACCTAACTAAGTACCCCCAAAATAATAATAATAAAAAAAAAGCCCCAATACCAAGTTTTTGATTAAACCAAATAGCTCTTTAAGACCAAGCCACAAAAATAAATGTTATCCGGTTGTAAATTAATTTAGAAATCGGTACTACAAATTCGGGCACCTCGTACTGCCCAGCCCTCTCCCTCCTTCCCCCCATACCCCCTCTCCCACGCCAGTCACAGCCAAGAAGTCAACTCCCTGTCAACGGCGCGGCTAACGTTTTTACAATCAGTGACACACTTAAATTTAATTGATTTATTTTCAACAAATCAGCGACTGTAGTTGATATAATTGCTTGTAAATTAAGCATTCGGTCTGGCAGCACGACACACAATCAGGTGGCAATGATCGTACTCAAAAGATATGTATATGTGCCACTGGGCGACGTGAATCTTAGCTGTTTGTTTCCCAGATCCATTCGATAGCTCCATGCTAGTCGAACACCTAAATTGACGCTCACGTTAAGTTTGATCCCAAGTCCAAGGAGTAAATTGCAACTGATCGCAACGACATGATCGATAAAAGATTAAATGAAAGTATCTCATTGATCAGTTGACAATTTGAATAGTCAACTTAATAATAGTTTGAATGCTGCTTTGAAAAGCTGATCGACCCCTTGGGTTGCAAAGAGCACTCGCTAAATGCAACTGATCGCGACTACATGATCGATAAGTTATCAAATAAAAAATCTCTCATTCATCAGCTCTCTATTTGCATAGTTTTTCATACATGGTTTGTTCAATGATCACTGATCAGTTTGAATGGATCTTTGGATAGCTGATCAGCAAGCGATCGCAATGCCCTGATTTAGTTTTGATTTAGCTTGATAATAAGCGCACGATTGCAAATCCAATTGAGATCTATTATATAGATATATAGATCAGTTGGCACTGTTAAAATTTCTAGGGATACCTGATCGCAAGGGCTAAGCAGATGTTATTTATGCGCGATCATTCTTTAGTTATCGATCAGTTTATATTTTAAATGGTGCTTGCAAACATCACAAGGGCCTGATCAAATTGTGATCAAACATCAGTTGATAGTCGGGAACAAGTGATCAAAGTATATACATTAAAGTGGATTTTACAGAATAAGCTCTTAGTTATGATCAACATTCTAACAGAGTCTTTGACACTGTTAACAGGTATCTATGGATGGGTAATCGCAAGTGTCTGAATATGAATGTGTCGATTTGTCTATAGATCAGCTTAAACGTTAAATATTTCTAACGATCACTGATCACCTGGGCTGTCAATCAAATTCAATTAAGTCGAGTTGCTTAAGCAGCCAATCGACTGCAGCTCGCAGAGCAAAACGCATCCGTTTATCGGAGCGTAAGAGATAAGAACTGAGATATGGCACCTGAGAGCGGCAACGATCATAAATCTGACTGAAACTAATCGAATGGACAAAGCTGGCCTATTGGATAGCCCATTCGCCCGCCTTTGGGCCGATGTCTCCACGCGCACAAATCCGCTGATCTGAGTCAGATAAACGCAGTCGCAGTCGGAGTCGCAGTCGGAGACAGAGTCGGAGGCGCAGTCGCTATCGACGCTATAAGGCGGCGCAGCGGTTAGTTGGTTAGTCAATAAACTGGTTTTGTAGATATCAACATTGGCAATGCATGAGCCATAAATAAATTTCTAAACGATTTTATAAATATTTTAAATCTCGGCGATTAGATAAAGTCAGCAAATAAATAAAACAACGGCGCGCCGGCCGCAAGAAGCTACCCAAAACAAAAACTAAAACAAAAACCCAAAAGCCACCAGAGACGACAAAGCGAATACCAAAAAGACAAGAAAATATAAAATAAATAAAAATCAATATTTAACTATAACCAAAGACCCCAAATCGAAATCAAATCTCAAGCCCTGCTCACATTCATTTCGTGCGCCTTGTTGTCAGCTCCGTCTTTCGGGCGAAACTCTCTCGATCTTCGATCTTCGATCTTAGTCGATCGTCTTGACATTTAATTTAATGCGCTGGCGCATAATAATTTAGCTGCGATCGTGCTTCGACCAACTGTCAGTGTGACTGTATCTATTACAATGTCGTTATTGCTATCGTCTATCGATTACGCTGCTGTCACGCTTATCAGATTTCTATTGTCACATTCGATGAGTCTTTCTTATATTCATGTTAGCTATATTCTAGAAATTCTATAGCATATTAATGAGGCGGTCTTTCATTGTGCATGCGCCCATCAATTTATCGTTATCGTTGATCGCTTACTCTTATCGGATATGTAATCATCTTCAGGATGTTCTTACGATTGGCTCGAATAAGATCGTGCTCTGCTTTGAAGCGACTGTGCTTTGATCGTATCCATCCAGGAACTGACAACTTTAGAATATAAGTACGAAGCACATAAGAGGACTTTTGCATGATAGATATACGATAACTATATAAATATATATCGTATATAGAGGCTTTCACATAATCGATATACGAAAACGATATACATATATCGTATATATCGAATAAAGAGGACATTTATATAATAGATATACAATAAGGATATGCTTATATCGTCTATCGATTATGTAAAAGGCCTCTTCTTTGCATCGTACATCTGTATTTGTGCATTCCGTAAGTTTCTTTATTTGTTATTTGTTCTTATCTCGAAGTTCTTAAGACATTTAACAAATAATTTGCCAATTAGAAATCGTCTATCGCTTATTGTGATCTAATATGTTCCTCCACTTTCGATAAGTATTTCTTCTTCTATTGTCTACATATTTTTAAATTAAAAAAAAAAATGAGCGCAACTTCTATGTACAATTCTATCGTTATCGATATCGTTTAAGGTTTCATTTGTTGTTGTTTCTTTTTTTAAATTAGTAGATTCCAATTTCATAGGGCTTACCCTTATCTTATCCGAATTTTGTAGTCTCCAAAAAGTAGAATTTTTAAGAGTAATTTAACAGAGCTTTTCTTAAATTCGCAGTTGAAGTATAAGTCCGAGTAGTACCTTAGATCCAGTCCCATTTGCGATTCATTTAATATAACCCTATTCCGAAACTACTAGTATTGCAATCTGACTAACATGCATGTTTATTGGGTATAGCGCTACCTATATAGCCCATAATAAGTGCACATATCAATGTACTCAATAAATGATTATCGGGCACAGTCTGAGATTAGCCGTGCTGACACTCCAAGACTATGATTTATGTGCTGCCTGACGTCTGTGGCGTGGGTTGATCAATCAAACCGGCTCACAATATGTTCGAGGCCTAAATTTGGCACCTTGAAACTGATTGTTAGGGGGTTATTTCGATCAATTATCAACAAATTAAAGACAACTTTTAAGAAATCAATTAGTCAGCGGCACAATTATTGCACGTACTTGAAGAAGTCTCAGTTATCAAATTTGATAAATATTTTCTACATTTCAAAACATTTCGGACACTTGAGTGCCATTCAAATGAGTAATTGGGCATAAACATGCTTGATCAAAAGTAACCTACTAAATGGGTATAATGCCAGAGCTTGAGAAACTACATCCTGTCTGTCAAAGTTCATGTTAACAGACTTGTTTTTGAGCTCTTGTCAAGCAAATGTTTAAATTGTTGCATGTATGGCAACGCTTTGTCAAGAAGCTGGCAACCCGAAGACGTTGGATTTATAACTAGCAAGCAAAATAAAATTAATCTACTAAATGGGTATAATATTTAAGCTTGAGAAACTACATCCTGTCTGTCAAAGTTCATGTTACCAGATTTGTTTTTGAGCTCTTGTCAAGCAAATGTTTAAATTGTTGTAAGTATGGCAACGCTATGTCAATAAGCTGGCAACCCTAAGGCGTTGGATTGATAACTAGCAAGCAAAAGCTAGCATTAGAACTGAAACTAACAGTCAAATGTTAAACTGCTTGTCAGTCGTTATGTTCGAATATGCTAAAGTGGATGCTAACTTTATCAGGCGGTTGCCAAGCTTAGATATAGATGATAATTTGATAGCTTCCAGCTATGAAAAGTCTAAGATCTTAAGTCTAAAATAAAACTTAACGGCACATAATTTAACTAAAAGTTAACGTAGCAACTATTAATATTAATTATCTTATATTTATTCTATAATTGTATATCAATTGTTGCAGGTGCAAGTCGCCGTCGTTGCCTTAGCATATTGAAGACACTGCGCGATCGTCATTTGGACCTGCCGGGCAATCCCGTAACATCGTACCATCTGAAAACCTTGCTGCTCTACGAATGCGAGAAACATCCGAGGGAGATGGAGTGGGAGGAGAACTGCATCGCGGATCGGATCAATGGCATATTCCTACAGTTGATCTCGTGCCTGCAGTGCCGTCGCTGTCCGCACTACTTCCTGCCCAATATGGATCTCTTCAAGGGCAAGTCTCCCGGTGCTCTCGAGAATGCCGCCAAGCAGGTCTGGCGCCTGACGCGCATCATGCTGACCAATGTGCGTTGCCTGGAGGAGTTGTAGGGATCCCAACAAATTTGTGAGATGGTTTTACACAACGATTCTCTCTATCTCTCTCTCTCTTTCTCTCTCTTTCTCTTTTTTTATTTTCTTTATGATTTTGTTACTTTCCTGCTTATTGTTATATTTTTTTTTTTTAATTTTTCGTTTTTTGTTTGTTTGTCGGGGAAACGAGCTAGAAACAAAAGCCGCACAATGTGGCCCAATACAATTAGTTGGTAGTTGTCGTAGTTCGGGGGCTACCGAACACGGGGGTATACGCTCAGAGAGGTACATAATTCGGAAATTTTAACCCAAATACTATTTGATATTTTTATAGATAGTAAGTTGTTTAGTTTTTAGGTGCTTTCGAAAAGTATACGCCGCTTACAGAGTTTCCTATATTTAATTGACACATATATATATATATATATATATATATATATATAATACCTAAATAGATCTTATCGTATAATACAAATAACAGCAGCAAAAATACGCACAAGCCTAAGTACATATATCAACTGAACTACACTTAAATATATCTAGATATATATGAATATTTTTTTTTTCGCAAATAATTTTGCCAAGCGGCAAATAAAATTAGCTAAAGTACTTAGCTTAAGCTAAGCAACAATTAAATAGCGCTGCAAATTATGTAAAATGAAGACGTAGAAGACGAAGTGAAAACATATATTTTTTTTCTGTTTAAATTATTTATTTGTGTTTTTTGCTTTTCTTGTGAGTTTAGTCAATAAAAAATTAAGTTTTTTTCAACAAACTGCAATTGAGTTTTAATTGTTAGTTGAGTTAAAACAAATGTTATTCACTTTTTTTCAGCTAAATAATTTTTAATGCTATGACTCGATCATTTACTAGCGGGTACAGCTGCTTAACGTAGTAAACTAACAGCGTAGGTTAACAGCAGTGCTGTTAACAAAACAAACATGTTGTCTATTACTGCTATGCTTAACATACATATGTTGCAGGCAACAGCTAATTAACATAACATGCAGTGCTTAACATAATGTATGTTACATATTGTAATAACTTGTCTGTTAATCTAACAGCTGATTAGCACAGCTCACAGCTGGCAATAACTGTGAGCTGTTTTTGGACAGCTGTCGAATCAAGTTAAGAAGCGAGGCATAAATATTTATAAATGCTGCCAGACAAACTCTGTCAATGTCAATCACAGTTAGCACTAACCACTGCTCTACTTAACATATAGATGCTAATAACAACGCACTTAACAGCTGCTTAACATTAGGCATACAGAAAACAGAGCTCGGCGAAGACAACGTGTATTAATCCATGTAATAGCCATAATATACATAATATATTAGTGACTGGTCTCATAACTATAACATGCCCAGTTAACATTGCCATTTGAATAATAATCGAGCTCCGGGTGGCTCCGGGGCGCTACTTTGAAGTGCTGCGTTTGGCGACGTGCGCCAATTTCGGCAATCGATATAAATTTCAGGTCGATATGGAAAAAGAAAAGAAACAAACAAAAAATATTGCTAGGTTTTCAATTGTCGAACATGTCTGCGGCTGACAGTCAGAGGTTCGTTTGTCAACACGTTGCGCATTTTAATGGCGCATTAAAGAAATTTTCGCAGTCCGAAGCAAACAAATGCCCAATAAACCTTACATCAATTGTCGCAAAATGATCGCCAACATGGCCATAATATGCAATATAGTATATACAGAGGCGGCGGCCCACTTTGAGCCCGGTCCAAGCAGCCATCGAAGTGGACAATTGGACTGAGACTGACGGCGACTGACGGCACATACAGCATTTGGATCACGTGTGCGTTTCGTTCTCAGGCAACAGACATAACAGTCAAATTAAATTGAATGCCATTCATAAATTAAATTATTTAACTTCTCCATCGTTGATTCTCTTCATGTTTATGATTCCCTGTACCTATAAAGTGGGTGGCTTACATATTTAACATGCAGTTAAATATGAAGTCTATATGAAGTGCCATTTGACAATATTCAAAACTATGCAAAATTCAACAGATATTGCTCTAATTTTTTGTGTACGTTCAGTTCTTCATTTCAACTCGTTAAGTTCTCAATTTCAGGGTGATCGGATAATAATCAACATAATTATTTGGCACTTGCTTAGGAATAGTTAAGTTCTTCATGTCAACTCTTTAACAATCCAATTTCATGGCGATCGGTTGATAAAAATACGAGTTTCTTCAACATAATTACTTGACACTTGCTCAGGAATTGTTCCATATTTGTTTTTAATGTATTTATAGCCCAGATCGTGGCTAACTACAGGGCATCTGCTAGTCGAGCACGCTCGTTTACCATCCGTAAAGTGGGCTATTGCATTAACTGTCGCTTCTTTGCTTTTACATGCTCGTACATACTCTAATATATTATTATTTTTTATTGTTTTCCTCTTGATTTATGCATGTACGAGCCTTGATTTTATATTATTCAAAAATTTACCCATAACACGTCGCACTTTTATTTATATTGTTCTTAAATATATAGTATATACATATATCTATATACATGTTGTGAATGTTTCAATCTATTGTTAGCTCCAATAATGCAGGTTTAACAAGTTCATCAAGTGAAATGTTAATAACTGAAACACGTATTCTCTTATTGCACCGATAATATTTTTTATATTGGTACGGCTGCTTAAATTATTAAGTTTATATATCTACATAAGGATATATTTATTATAGCTCAATTACGGGCTCAAATCAGGCCTGATTAGAGGAATCAGATCACGGGCTCGACAAATTTCAGTTGCTTTGCGTCATGAATTTACTTGAAAAACTTAAAAAACTCGAAGCAAATTACTCGGCGTTGCCCGGCGGAAGCTAATAATGATAAAAATGCAAGGGCCGTCGAAATTGTTGGCGAAAGTTTCGCCAACTTTAGACGTATGCAGATCCATTCCGTACTTAAATTTAACCAGCCCATATAAACAAATCAAGGAAACAAATTTAAAAAATGCTATGAGTTTGAACCAGCGACCTTCCGCTTCCTAATCGAATGCTCAATGACAATTACAATTGTCTAACTAAATTGGTAAATTAGATATCCCTGATGAATTGAAAAAGTTACTGAATTTGAGCCGGCGACCTGCCGTTTATTAGTCCGGCGCTCGGAAACTTACAGGCGTATACATTTTCACGCATTCCCATACTAGATAATTAACTGGTCGCTGAATTTGAGACACTTACTGACGTTTACATTTCCACTCGAATTGCCAACCCGGATCTTGACATTTTCCTAACCCATATCAACAAATTTGCTTGCAGTTGAATTTGAGCCGGCGACTCGCCACTGAATTTGAGCCTTCGACCTCTTGCTTATTAGTCCCACGTTCAGACACCTGAGTCACATGGACACATAACATCATGTTTGCCAAGCACAATCTCATACAGGGCTGCGTTCTTCTTCTTGTTTTTTATATAAGCTTTGAATGCCGTTTTCCAGCACTTAAAGCCGCATTTTCCAGCACGGATTGCAGCTTAGAATATTATATATATATTAAGTATTGGATATAGTTACAATCTGTCCACCGGGAACTTGAACCCGGAACTTCAGGCATATCGTATTATTTAGCACATTGCTTGTGAGTAGAAACCCTAACCTCTTCAAATAGACCCCAACATATCCGTACTACAATGTCCCTCCGTCTTTGTCGCTTTCGTGTTCTGAATTCCGCCATAAACCGGATAAACCACAAACTATTTTTTTCACCTGTTTGCGCCACTTGACTAATTTTTGTGGGCGGTCAATCGTTTTTAGCCAATTATGCGGCAAGCGGTTCGGCCTGGCCTGGCTTGGCTTGGCCTGGCTTCGCTTTTGGTTGGGGGGCGTCAAGATTGGTGGCGTCTGGCGGATCGGGTCGTCAGCCGGCTGGCTGCGTTTTTTAATGAGTTGTTGTTTATTGGATTCCATTTGCATTTAAACATGACCAACAAATATTTAATATTTGTTGTTTGCGGTCGCCGCTTCTTTTTTTTTTCTTCTTAATTTTAATTTTTTGGCTATTGGATTTTTGGGCTTCTTTTTTGAGAGGGCCGCTGCTGCTGCTGCCGCTTCCCACACAAATTAAAGAACAATTAATAAATGATAATTCCGGCAGCCCACAGCCCGTCCCTCAGCTCGCCAGCTCGGCAGCTGACTCCTTTAGGCCCCAGCAATACCATTCGAGCTGTCGTCTGTCCATTGGCATCATCATCACCAGATGTCAGTTGGGGCCAATTTGTTAGCCAGCTTTGCCTCGTCTTCTTCTTGTTGCCCTTGTTTTTGGCGTCTTAATGAATTCGATGCAATTTATATTCATTTAATGGCCAGAAGCAAATTTTTATGACCATCTCATAATCACATTTTGAACACACAATTTGTTATTCCACGATACGTAATGCGTATTACGCATCTCGAAAATTATTATATATATGTTTGGGGGAAACTGTAACTCATTCATGTCGCTTTTCTTCTTTTTTTCTGTTGTTTCCCGTTTATCAAGCAAAGAACATGCTTATCTCTTTGCTCGATTACTTTACTCATTTTCTCAAACTCGATAAATATCGATATCAGAGCTTATGAAAACTGAGGACATGACAATTAAATTGAGTTCTCGTAAGGCATGTGGAACTTTTTAAATACTTCCCCCCTGCCTCCATCAATTCAATAAAAATTAGAATTTACAGCCAAGATTTTTGGTGCATACTCAAAAGTGGAAAATATCTAAAAAAATACGCAAATTTTAAAACAATCGGACCATAAGAATACTTCTTTCAGATTGTGTAGTTAGGGGTAGATTCTCAATTGAGTGCAGGGATCTCTCTCTCTCTCTCTCTCTCTCTCTCTGAAGAATTTAGAGCTTGTTTGTGTCTTCACGAAATTTCTTCTTAATCGATCAGCTTTCGAGAATCAAAAGAACCTCGAATTTTAACCAAGATTATAAGAATCGATTGTATCTGCCATGTAATGGGATGAATGTACAGGTAAGAGCATTTAGTTTTCGGTAATTGGAACGGCGACTGATGATTCTTCAGCTACGTTAGGTTAAGTACGAGTAAATGCTGTGATAATCTGGAATTAAAGTTCTCAAAGGCCCGAGTGTAC